AATATGATTTTGCTGTTTACGTTGTACTTAGTCGATCATGTAATTTTTAATTAAATTACACATTTTTCACTGTATTTTTTAACTCAGCAATTCATTTTATGATAGCGTGTCAGACCATTGCACCCAGGCCCGACCTCAGCCTCCCAGAGACCCTGTTTATTTCCGAAAGCACTACAGTAAGTATTCAAACTGTTGAACATGACAGAGACTATTTGAGAATTATTATTGTTTTTTTTGTTTTTTTTGTTTTTTTTGTTGTACTTTGTTATAATTATTAATTTGAGTGAGAAAAAAAAAAGGAAAAAAAGAGAATAGAGAATATATATATATATATATTATTGTTGTATGTTTTTGTTTCTGACATGTTCAATAAACTGACTAATGAATGAATGAAACTAATGAGGGGGTGGAGTCCTTAGTGGATAACAACAAATATCCAGAATATATGCATACTTAATCAACAGCCGACAGAAAGTACTGAAGAAATGCTATCAAGTATACTGTTGAAAAATATCGCTATTCGATTAATACGAATGATTATGTCAAGCAACATGTGTACCTACATAAAGCCAAATAAACGCCATTCTTCACAAAAAACACATCAGTTCTAAGTAACAGAATAACTTGTAATTGTTGTGTTATACCTTCACCACCCCTGTTCTCTCATGATTCCCTGTACGGCTGTAAGGCTGGAGGAGAAGGGAGGTATCTGTCTCTTTCTTGTTTTGCTGCAGTGTCCTGGTGTTTTGGTGTTCGTGTAGATATTACACTCAGCTGGAGGGTCCATGTTGAAGCTATGTGCTCTAGACTTCATTGTATGAGTTCACTCATCATTTTACCCCCTCCATTCTTTTTTGTTGTTTTTTTAAGGACGGAGGATCTGGTTGTTCAGTTTTCACGGCTTGGTTTCTTAGTTTAGTTTATGCACTGTTTCTCTTAATTTTCCGGGGGGCTCTGGTCCGAAGGCTTCCTAATTGTTTGGTTATTTTTTGCCATTCCTCTAGACTAGTTTGATAGTTCTAGTTCTGTTTTCTTTCAATGTTCTACAAATACAATTATTTAGTATAATTTGTTGGGGTTTGGCTTCTCAAATATCTGTGGCGGGCCGCGGGTGACAAACTGAGCCATGACAGGCCCTAACAGGTTAACTATGGAAGTGGAATAAGTTAAATAAATACAGAAGTTACACAACAGATTAATTCATTCTGGTTTCACACAAGACATAAAAAGTCTGCCCTGATGAAAGTCTTTGGACCCATCGATCCACAGCAACCTATTTCATTTGCAGAATCATTCAATCTTCATACTTCCTGCCCCACATTTACCTGGAATACATACAAATACATTTAGTTGGCTATACAGAAAGGATGGCGCATGACTTTTCATAAATACACCTACAAACAGTGAATGAGAACACCCTGTCACCAGCTACACCAGATTACTTCATGGCTGTAGTATGAGGTTGGACATTTATTGCTGTTAAAAGCACTGATCCAGGGAGACTGAATTGAAACAGTATTTAAGTTGTGGTCTAGAAAACAAAAACATTTAGTGGAAAGATACTAAAAATCTGTGTAGAACTGAAGGATTATGGTTTTGATTTTCTGTGGGTTATTCACAACAAGGTACCACTTTTCTCATTTGGTACATTTTGAAATATAAAATAGTGATTATTGTAGCTTTAGCTGGCCATAACGTGTACTAAAAAACCTTGTGGGATTTACTGGGTCAGAAGATGCTATGCCTGACAAGATTCACAGCTTTGTGGTCAGGACATCTTATCTGAGGCATGTTGTTATTCATGAGTTAATAACTGTTTGTGTGTTTTTCTGTTAATCAGCAGTTATTGACTTTAACCGGCAAATGCCTCGCTGAGTTCATACATTGTTTGTTAGCTTGCCAAGACGTCCAAGAAATCAATTGATTCAAATGAAATCACATTTATATAACACAATAAATGCCTCGACAATAAAAAGGGAGATCTTGCGTCTTCCGCCTGGTGTCAGTTTGTCTGGGAGGTAAATGTAGAAATTAAGTGGCAGAACTCTAATAAAAATGTGCAAAAAATGTAAACCCCATCCCCCCGCCGGCGGGCGGAAAAACGCATCGTCTGCAGGAATCAGCGTCTGAGGGCTTCTTAATATTTAATAAACTATGAATGTTTCATATCCATGTAACGGGAAGAAACTCAGCTAACTGATGATATGAACCATTTTTAGCAAAACAAAAAGAAACAAGGCTAACGCTGAGCCTCTGAATTAGCCCTGAGCGAAAAAATGCTAACGCCGTTAGCACAGAACTCACTCATAAAACCCTTATTACTTATCGTAAATGCAAATATAACCCATCGACTAGCATCGTGAGATTACACAGATTCTGTATCATCACTCCATGATAAGAACTCACGAAATGAGAAACAAAAACAGACATCACAACATGTGGCATTAGGTAGCAAACACGGCAATATGTCTTACCTTTGTTGTTGTCTGATCAAAAGTGGTCTTCAATGGCATTAAAACGATAAAAACGCTGCTGAAGGTTAATCCATAGGTTAATGCAATGTGCCTGTGTCACTTTGAAATGATTTCTGATAATCCATCAGCAATAAACCTAGTTTTAAGTTTTCAGATTTCAGAGCGTAAGATAGGTTTCGCTTTAGGCAAACTGCGTGTGCATAGCCCCCAATTCTCAATGGTAACGTTGGTGTGTATGTGGAAATTCCCCTTCGATTCTATTGGCTCTAACGGTTGAAAAGAGATGTCAATCATCAAAATCGACCAATGGGTTTCAGAGAAACGGCAAAAAACGCCCATTTCCACCCAAATGACCCCAGAGGTGGAGTCTTTTTTGCTAAACCTATCTAAAAAGGTCAAATGTCACTTGTTTTGCATCAATCTTGATACAGGGTACTTATATATATGTTGTACTTTGTATTACTAAAGCTTTTAGTCTACTAACTAACCCATCATCCAAGGGTGGTTTTCACTATAAGTAAAAAAGAATTTTTGGACGGACACTATCAATTACATTTTTTTACTATGTTCAATCTGAATTTTCTTTAAAATAAAAAACATCTATATTGATCCAACTCACAGGTTTATCATTACTTTGAGAAAAAAGATTATTAGTTTTCCCCTTTTAGAAGTTATGGTCATTTGTTCTGGAAATTTCATTTTCGAGTCTGAGACCTGAAAAACAGGCTTGGGGCTTAACAGGTTAAAGTGCTGTATGGAATGACAAGATATCTGTTGTTTTGTTCTTTATCTGTAATGGTATTGCTACAAAATGAGACTTTGCACTGAGTTACTACACATACGTTCCACCTTTAGACCTTTAACTACCTCTAATAAGATGTTTACATTTTGCTTGAGTAGAAAAAAAACGTTTTCGCCCTTTAAAGGAAAACATGATATCTAAAAGCTGATTCACATTATCATATTGACTTATTTAACAATTTCATAAATAATGAACTGTACTAAAGCTGTTACTATAGATATTTTTGTTATTGCCTAGTAGCCATGAGACCATATATTGCGCAGTATATAAGAAGTGGATGAAACTGTCCACAAAAGAATGTATTTGAAACCTGTATCTACGTACAAGATGATGATGCTGTCTACCTGTGCCTCCTCAAAGAGATCTTTCTCAGGATTTGTCAACTATAGACTTGAACTCATCTTTTTATCAGCCCCACTCCTAATTAGAAATCTACTTTTGGAGTGTCTCTGAAAGATAGATATATTTGAATTACTTTTGTGCTCAATTGTCTATGCAATTATAATAATGACGTTTGTTGAAGCCATTGATCCAGTAGGATGCAGTTTCAACACCCCCAACTTCAATCTCCACCCAGCATCTCTGTATGTAGCCCACGTCTGTGCTGCATAGATTTCTGTATTCAGGTCCCTTCATGCCTCAGTTGTGCCTCATTATATCACCACATGCATGTACTGTATAGCTGCTTGTTTGTGTGTGTCCTTCTGCATTCATGCCGCGTGCTGCGAGGGGTGAACTGAGAGCAGGAGAACTGACATGCCCCCTCTTCACCATCTTGAAACAGTTTCTATGCTAAAGGGGAAGAAAAAAAGGTCTGCCTTTGTTTGAACCCCCCCTCCACACACACTTTTTTTTCAAATAAATGACAGCCCTCGAGGCACAAAGACGGTGATAAGAGTCAATCAGTGACGTCTGACCAAAGAGCTTTTTAAAATGACAGTGGTGACCTGAGACTGGCTGATAACACAGAAAGTCAGGAGGAAAAGAGAAGGCTCTGTGAAGCAACACAAACCTCGGATTCTTTGCAGAAAACATCTGTCTTGACAACAGAGATGCTGAAAGATGATTGTAGTTGGGGTGTTGAAACGGTGGTGTGCCCCTTTAATGACGTCAATGCTGCTTTATGTTTATTTATGCTGAATGCAGGATACTTAAATCATACGAGAACTATTCATGGGGTGATACATATTCTGTGCAACACTAGGGCACATTTGAACAAATATCACAAAGTAGCAGCCAATGGAATCACACAAAGCCAAAACCCTGTATTTGTGAAAGAGCGTGAGTTACTAGTTATGTATGGTTGCGGTTCTAACTGCAGGCACATGTTTAATTCACGGGTTAAGCCATCAAAATTAATATTTCTGAACAATAGCAGATGGGTTACGGGTGGGTGAGATAAAAGCCTTACTTATTAATGAGGAAAAGCAGCAACACAATGGCTTACAAGATGTATTAAAAACAATCACTCTGGATGAGGATCTGTGTGCCTTATGTAAGCCTGTCAGTTCATTGAAGGGAAAGCGGAGTGCAGCAATGTGTTGTCCATATTGGGATCCAGTCACAGAGAGCTGGCCACCACAACACACCAAAGTAATCTCACAATGTTGCCAGGGCCCAAATCATACCTTTACCCTCTGTTTTACCTTTAATTGGACCACTTTTCACACAATAAACTGCATGTTTTATTTATGAAGACTTCAACTAGTGATTGAGACCATAAATTCATCAGGAAAAGGTTTATTTCTGTCACAAATCAAGTGAGAAGTAGGGTCATTTTCCCACATCAATAGAGGGTTCACGATAATCCAACCAAAATACATGTGGCAGTGTGTGAATTCCTGCTTGTGTGTGTGACCATATATGTATAAGAGAGAAGGGAGAAGAGAGAAATAATAAGGAAGTGAGAAAGAGATGAAGATAAAGGGATTAAAGATGCATCACCCCCCCCCCCCCAACCAGCTCAAGTCTCTTTGTTTCATTCAGATCCAGGGATGGATAGTGGCACGGCTCCTTATGAAAGAAACATTTGATGAATGGGAAGTTTTCTCATAAGCATGTTTATTTTACTCATTTCATCCAGGCATGATTCAGTCCTGACATTTCTTGACCTTTTCTTTTTATCTGACCATTGGTCTGATTGTTGTTTCTGATTGTGTTACACATAATGAAACAGAACTCACATTTGTTACTCTCATTCTACAATTGATTTTGATAATGATTTTGACCATTTAACTGTTCTTCTTTTTTGCACGTTTCCTTGCTGAAAGAGGGGACACAGTACACGTCATGCTTATAAGTCATTATAAGGGCAGGAGTCAAAGGAGGCAAGTGTACAGTAAACATTCACAATCATATGAACATAAGTTCTGGCTGTAAACATTCATGAAACGAGCAGGTCTGATGTCATCAGACGACATAAAACTGAGAGTGAAACAAAGGGTTAGAGAGTTTAAACAAAAACATCATTCCATTTATCATGTGCATTAAATTATAAAAAATACCTTTAAGGTGTTGCACAAATCAACAGTTAACCATTCATGTGTGATCTGATATTTATGAAAAACATTTGTTCAGTTACATCGTTTCAACATTACATCATTTGGCAATCGATCATCGAGGAAGGCATCCCACGTGGTCCCGCTCCCGGTGTCAAAAACATCAGTGTCAGTTTTCTGGCTTCGCCTTTTAAAAACCGAACTTCACAGAAACACCAGAGTGAGACCTTAGCCTGAACACACACACGCACACGCACACACAGACAAACGCACGCACACACACCGTAGAAAAAGAGAGTGACCACTATTGAATCCGGGTTCAACTGATTCAAGACTTTCCATCAATTAAGGTCAATACAAGCACGATAAAACAGGCTAGGCTTGAACATGACTTTAGGCTATTTGTCAAAGAGTCCTGAATATCTTTATTAAAAAAACCAACACCATAATGTGCCATGTGTGAATATTTTATAGCAGCATCTGAATATTTTTGCACTGTGAGTTGGACACTTAAGCAGTATGAGCAGAGGAGCAGTTCAGCATCTTCCAACTACACATGGAGCACCGCTGTGTGGGAATTCATCCGATCGTTCCTGTATCGCTCCAGCCAGTTTCTGAGCTCTGAAATCCGGTATCCCTCCGGCCCCCTGCCCCCCTGGTACACCACCCTCTCATCCATCACGATGTAAAGTCTCTCAAAGTAGGCTCCGTACGCGGCGTTGGACTCGTTGTCCATATTATCCACCACCACGTTGCTCCCCGGCACCTCAGCGAGCATCAGCTGAGCGGCTCTCAGCCTGTCTTCCAAGCAGCGGTGCTTCGGGATCTGGTACGGCGCGTCAGAGCTCACCCAGCCGTCCGACGGATGCGCCTCCTCGATATATACAACTAAAAAGTCTGCAATGTCCGCGTACTGGCTCACGACGCGCTGAAACGCCGACAGACGCGTCATGAATGGCGGTCAGGAGCAGCTGCCAAAGTTAAGGATGAGCGGTCTCTTCCTTTTCATGCAGTCCAGGATCCGGACCTGCCGCCGCTCCTGGACCATCAGTACCTCGGTGTTAGGTGCCGCGCGCCCTAGGTGAGCGGATTTCAGGAAGTCCAATTTCTGTCCGTACCAAACGGCTCTGAGCGACTCCAAGGTGAACATCCTGTTGGAGTCAGACACGCACACCGGCGGGTCGTCAGGGCTGTCCTGCTTCGCTCCCATTTTCAGCAGCACTTTTTTCCTTATACACAAGAAATCCAGCAGCCACAGCATGACGGCGGCCACCAGGAACCGGGGCAGCAGCATCAGGCATAGGGTGGCATGCTTCAACACCCTCGCCATTTGGACACCTCCGGAGTCGTGCATCATCTCCTTCCCCCTGCCGATAGGATGCGACTGGGCCCGGTGAAACAACAAGTATTTTAGTCACCTTTACCCATTGGAGAAAAACTATCTGACGCACGCAGGCGCTCTTTTTATAGGTACACCAGCATTTGAATAATGAAAAACAAGTACAAAAAAAAAACACGCCTCCGGTACCCGCACCGCCCACTCACATGGTGGGGATTACCTCCCAGAGAGAGAGAGAGAGAGGTGCTCCAAGCACACTCTGTGTCCTCAGTTGACATGTCATAGATAAAACATGACAGTGGAATGGGAGTTTTTCAATATAACACTGCGAAACTCTTGGATTAGTTTTAATTGGCTGTGGCTGGGCGCTTGGTTGGTTCTGAAAGTAGGATAAAAAGAATATCTGACTTCGCTTCAATCTGCCTGTGGACTCAGATTCCCTTGTAATGAGTGTAGGAGCCACTGTGACCACTAGACGGAGCTGGTTTCATACAGTGTGAAGCTGGATGACTCATTCAATGATCTGTAGGGCCCCTGAGCACCTTGGGAGGAAGAGAAGGCAGAATAAAGTTTGCTGTATATTTATTGCCCCTTCCTTTACCTGACATAACCTGTTTTCATTTTATGATATGATGATTTTATGTTAAGCTGATTTTGGCCTTGTATTATACATGTTTGATTAACACACTTAGCCTATATCAAACATTTCTCAACAACCCTATGGACTAATGGTTTATAGGTATACCACATATTTTCTCTGGTGTCCAATCTAAATGAAACTAGGTAAACGCTCATTTTCAACTACGTTTAATTAGGGTTAGAGTTTAATCAGGGCTAAATTATCTCGTCTAACATGGCCAAATTTAAGAAAATTGTATCCTCAACTCTTGTTTTTTCATATATTTTATGCTGCCAGGTATGACAGGACTCCATTGTAAAAAAGACATATTTTAGCATTCTATCTGGTATTTTAGAGGTTAAATACAAGCACAGTCAGAACGTCAGTCACGTCACCTCACCCCGAACCTATCAAAATCCAAGTGATCACTTCGGTGTTGCCAGGCAACCAGCACAGACTCATGGAATTTAGTCAGGTTTCTCTCTTCCCAGAGTTTACGTTAAGCTCATAATTCTACGATAACAATGACCCCCCAAAAAAGAATAGGAATGCAAAACGTTTTCACTATTGGACTTCTGCAAAGCTTTATTTTTCTAACCCTGTTTTTTTTTTAAAACCCCTGTTTGATTGTCATACTAAAAATTCCTCCACTGCACAAGTGAGCTTGATTTGTTTTGTTCCTTTGTTGAAAGAGAGTTTTTGCACCCAGTCAGGTATGAAAAGTCCTTTGCCAATGTCTTGATGTAGCGAACATATAAAACCCTTGACTTATCAGCTGTTTCCGCTATCAGCATCCTTATTTTTTTATACCGGATAAAACATAGCCATAATTAAATCAATTTCATGAAGACTTTTCTCATATTTAGCCACTTCCACTTGTCTGTTTGCTAGTTCGTTACCTCAATCATTTCTACTCTGTTTACTTGGTGATGACAGCTTTGTGTAAAGTTTAGCTTATACTGCCAACTTCTGACAGAACTATGATTTGCATAACCTTTATTCACTCCGAACTCGTGAAACAAAACACGTCTATCTTCCTTTTTCAACCGCGACATTTCAAAAGTTTGATAAAAAAACACCACAAGTAAGATCTATGTGTTAATGCAATGTTACTGAGATAGAAACAATGAGCTAGAAACCCAAGAAAGTAATATTTAATTTATGATAAAGTACGTAAGGAGGCCCCTGGGACTGTTTTGGAGGCCATCGTTGATTTTCAGACAACTTTAAAGACAACAACAGACAACCTGGTGGGAGACAGCCGTAACAAACCAGATGTGCGACAGCTTCCAGAGTGACGTCTTAGCTTCCATTACACAAACAGCTGCGAATGTGAAGATGATTTGCTAGAGAAAAGAACTTCCAGGTGCTCCTTCACTTCTAAAGGCTATTAACTGAGGAGATTATGCCTCCTAGCACTTTGGAGTTAATAGCAACATTTTTTACCATCTTAATTTGTATCTTCTGAACACAAAAGTAGTTTTTCTCTTTCGCACTGTCACAGTATGATTCTGTTTAAAAGACTCTTCCATGTAAAGCTAAAATGTAATCGAAAGTGCGCTCTCCTGAATGGAATGCATTCGATTTTCTTTATCATGGGAAAAATTAGTCCCAAGTTGAAGTGGTCCAACTGTTGTCCTGTGACTGGATGAAACAAAAACAGCTCTGACGCTCCAAAATGAGAACTTTGTGCTTGAGCTTGCACCAAGACATTTTTGATTTTCACATTGTGCAATTAATATGGCAACTGTATTTGGTCGTTATAAAAAGATCGGAAAGAAATGGACAAAAGAAGATTTTAGAATGAAGTGGATGGGACTCTGAAGTGTTAAGTTAAAGATAAGATAAGAGTTACTTTATTGATCCCAAATTGGGAAATGTTTGCGTTGCAGCAGCATAAAAAACAACAAAACAAAACAAGGCATTGCACATAAGTAGTCAGACAATGATCCAGAAAACTAACAACATACTTTTGCCTCCTCTATTATTCATAGCATGACCTGAATTTGCAATATGCAACACTATGTGTTAAAGTTATGTTATGTTGTGTTAAAGGTCACCTACCTATGTTTAGGCAATAGCATAGGTCTCAGATATATAAAAATATATAAAAAACATGTCTCAAAATACCAAACAGACCACCCATTCTAGCCATGCCTCATATCCTTCTATTTCACTTCCTGTTTCAAAAGTGCTGATTTTATGTATGTGTGTGTCACATTCGGGTTCAGGTCCGGACTCAAGTCCAGAGGTTCAGGTTCAGGTCCGGACTTATAAGTCCGGACCTGAACCCATGGCTTGTGTCAAGTTGTGTGAGTAACTAAAGTGAACTTATTGTGAGCTAATTATCAATTGAAAATTAACTCATAATCAACTCAAATTCAAACTCATCAGGTTGATTGTGCTCCCTTCCAACTTGTGTCTACATTTCTCTACAAAGTATACAAATGTAAAAAAAACACTTTTTGCCACTTAGTCTACAAATGACTTATGACAGCAACTACAGTGAACTACTACAAAGTTCAAACATTTATTTCATTTACCAAACTAAAGTAACCAAACAGTCCCTGAGCTGACTGAGCCTAAATCCCTAAAACGTTGCTGAAAGGTAGAGTGTAGAGTAGACTATACGCATTACACTGTTACACACCTACTATACAGTATATACTACATTGTAGTGACTGTACAGTCAGAGTGTACTGTACTGTCTGTACACCATGTATTTTCTACAACTCTACATGTGTACATTATACAGTACATACTACATACATAGTGATGTACATACATACTGTTAGAAATTAAAATCAATGTTGATATGGCGTAATTTTGAATTAAATACACTATTTAATTTAAATCAGTTTTATTCTGAAAAAACCGGAAGTTCACACTATTAACTTAATACTTTTATTCAGAAAATTCTTCACTTCCGGTTAGCATTAGCATGTGGTGAAATGCTACGTTTTCAAACCGTGAATCGAAGGTGAAATGACATGTGATGTTGTACACTGAGCACACTGGGATTAGCACTCATTTATTGACGCTGAATAACGTTTATCAACCACAGACACCAGAATATACGTAAGTGCTAGTTTTTTTGCAAGTCCAAGTACCGGTTCCCGACGTTCCGGTTTTAACCGGACTTGAACCGAAACTTTTTACAAGTCCAGTACCGGTTCGGCGTACCGGTACGCAGCACTACACACACACACATCACACACACGTCACAACATGCGACTGCTCAAAAATGAAATTATTTCAAACTAAATATGATATTATTCAGATTTGTATTGTAACAATCATTATATTACATCTATTAAAATATTGATATACGAAATATTGTATTGGAACAGTTTTAGAAGTAGTAATGCTGTAACATATTTCAGCCACTAGGGGGGGCAATGCCCCCCCTGCCCCCCCCCGTATAATCCGCCTATGACTACAATATATATATATGCTATATATGCTCTGAACGTTCCACTTCCTGCCTGCCTGACATTATGTTACGGCTGCGTCGCGTCAAAAATAGGATTCATCCTAATTTTATAGGAGCCCTGCGCCGAGACGCTTCTGGGACGCTTCTGGGACGCTTCTGGGACACTTCTGGGACGTTTCTGAGCGGTAACACGCCGTGTGTGGTGAAATATCACCCATTGACTAGAGTGGCTGCGATTGTTGCGGACGCCGCGGCGCAGCCGTAACATGGCCGTAACATGGCCGTAACTAGACGCAGTCCGGTGGAATCTAGGGGTAGGCCTAAGCCTTATATTGGCTACCTAGCTTACTTCGTCTTCTTCATCTGCCAACATCCTTGGTTGTTCATAGAGTTGATTCCCCCCCTTCCATTTTGATGTTTCTTGGCATCTCTTTATGACGATTTATTTCTGAGTTACTAACATTTATAACTGCCAAAAGGGAGCCTTGTAAAGTATAAAACACATTCCCATTTATTAATGAGTTACAACCAAATGTTATTGTAATGTGTTAAACAAATCACCATTTATTAATGAGTTACTACCATTTATAATTTGTTTAAGTTATATTAAGCATTAAAGTTATGCATAAATTAGGACATGGTCACATTGAGTGACAGGTCTGTCCAGTGCTGCTGTTAGCTTTCTGCTCTGCTAGCATCTCCGTGAAGCTACAGGGACTCAGCCTGCTCAACTCATCCGGGGAACAGAACTTGAACTCGTCCGTGTTTGTTGTGATGGTGCCTTGTGGACTATTCTTCATGCTTATATCGGACTATTGTGACTCGCTAAAACAGACGGTGCATGAATACAGTTTTACGGTAAGTGAAATTTGAGTACTTTATGTATGTGGTGCTTATGCTTTTTAGTCAGCTAACGTTAATGAATGTTAAGGCTTGTGTTAGCATGTAGTAAGAAAAGTGGTAGCTACATCTGTGCTAACGATGCTAATCGTAGCCTCCAAGTTAAAACATATTGGAGAAGTGTTAAGCATTAAGTGGGATAATACTGTAGAACAAACGGCTTCTGTTTTAGGTTGGTGAAATA